ACACAGAATAAGTGTAAAAATACTTTGATTTGCTACATGTTGATATCAAGACAACACTTGTCTCTCTCTGCTTCACACTACAAGAGACTTTCTGTTGGAAAAAGATGGTCCCCGAAGGCTGGATCCTGTCATGCATCCTGACAGCTTGCTGCTGCAGTACTGGGGATGCAGTTGGAATTGTAGCTTAATCAGCTAGCAGTGATTAAACCTGTGGAAAGGTGAAAAGTCACATGGCATGTGACAAGTATGAAGGCTCTTCTGCACCTTCTCACACAGCCAAGCACAAGCACTTCATGCTGGAAGCAATGTGACTAGAGGCCATGTAGGCAAATACAAATAGAATTTCAGCCTCACTAAAAATCTCACCCACAGAGGTTAGTCAACAAAAGCAATTATGTTTATTGCTCAGTTCCAGTAATTTTGTCAGAATATCTACTGTGATTTTCCTAAGTGTCAGAAATTGACTTCTTGAGCCTCCACAGCATCAGGTGGTGGTGTTTTGTTTGATCGAACTGTACATTTTATTTACACTGCACTGCATGATATTAGTTATCATATACTTACTAATAAGCTCTCCACCAAATTAAACAAATTAACAAATCCTCTAAGAGCTAATTCTAATTCAAGTGGACAGAAATGGGCATACAATGGAAGTCACAATCATAGTATAAATGTGTGGTCTCTCATTTTCATTCTGCATTAAAATAATCACTGATGTCTATGATCAGTCAAGTCTGTCTCTTGCACAAAAATGTTCAAAGAACATACACAGTCAAACTCATTGATGTGTCACAGCATTAAGGAAGCACATAGCCTAAACCATCACTTAAAAAATAATGACTTTTTGGTAAGAATGGAAAACATCAGGTCATACAGCCATGTATAATTGTCTTGAAAAAAAATATTTAAAAATTCAACTGCAATTCCTTCTCATTCACCAAGTATGAACTTGAAGAATCTGTACATAAATAGCAAGCTTTGGGGGAAAAACAAGTGAGAAAGGTAGAAATGAGAAGACAAATGTTTAACTATTTATACCATATAGAGTGACTGAGGAGTACCAGACACAACAAACATGATACTGCCTTAGTAACTTAATCTAATATGCTAATTGCGTGTGTAATTTTATATATATACACACATTTGAGTTCTGGGTCCTAGAGGGAGTGGTCTGAAGCATAACTCATGTAAGCCATCACTGCTCAATTTAGTGAGAAACTACATGTGTGAAGACTATTAATGTAATTAAAAACTGCAGAATTAGAACCATAATTTCAATTTGAATGACATGTAATCCGTTATATGTCTGCTGGAAGTAGGACACTTCCGGTTGTTAACACTATCTGTAACCTTGTTTTCTGATCTGCTTTGATTTGTTAAAATATTGTTTCATATGAAGGTAGCTATTTTTTTTTTTGTTTTAGTCAATCCATATAATGGTGCTGTAGTCATAAATGTGCATTTCCTAGATCTAAGATTTATTCACATTTTGGACACAATACTTGCAAAACTATACAGTGAATAATCTACTTACTGAAGTTGGAGATTAAGAAATTAAACATGCTTTTTTAGAAATATCAGACATTGCATTTTTGCCACAGTAAGATGGCAAAATTGTGCTGGTACTGCCATGTAATGTGCTGGTATTAACAACTGATTTGAAAATGACATTGTTCATTATTGGTACACGAGTACTTTCTACTTAAAATGTCCTTATGCTGAAATTATCTGACATAATGGACCCTAAATCTTTTTGGTCAGCCATCAAGCTCATTAAATCTTGAAAAACCTCTTGAAAAACCTTATTAATATTTCACCAGTAAAGCAGCTTTTAGGCAAAGCACATTCCAGCAAGACAAATACATACTGAGTGCAAAAAGCAAACACAAGGTGAACATCATGTTTTTATGTTCAAAACGCCTTCCACTAGGAAACAGGCACATTAGTGGACCTCAGGCTTCCCTTGCCTAACATGGCAATCACTGATGAGCAATAATTATTTAAATTAGTATGAAAAAGGAGGCAAGAGCTACAAGATGTCCTGGTTTTGCTTGTGTATTTGGTCATGAGGAAGGAGAGGGAGGGCAGTCTCATACGGTGCCTGGCTATAGAGCAGCTGGTGTTCTGCCCGGTTTAGCATAATCAGGCGGCTGGCTGACCTCTGCTGACTGCAGCCTGGCACCAGCATGAACTCACGGCCCAGCTGTGCATGTGGAGACCTCCAGTGAATCTTTACTTTTGCCAGCTGACATATTCCAGCATCCCGCTGGTTTTCAGTTGCCCTGAGCCACATCTCACAGGCACGAAGTACGTGCTCAACTAGAAAATAAGAGAGCACTTGCCAGAGGTACATGCAGGTATGTGGGCATCAGCCAAACAAAATCTAGCAGGATTATGAATAGGAGGAGGATTCTCCATGTTATGTGCAAATAACATTCTTACAAAATTTCTTAACCTGTATCCAGCTTTCTTCTGCTTAAAATCCTTACAAATTAAACAAACAACAAACCACAATCTATTATTAAATGGAGGAATGCAAATCTTAATGTTAAATTAATAAAATTAAATGTTTCCTAAAGTAAAATGTGTGTTCAAATGACATTTTCAAGCTTTTGCTGTCTTACCTGAATATATCCTTTTTTCAGGTAACTCAAAAGCCTCTAAACAGAAGAGCTGTGTCAGGAAAACTACTTCCAAGTTCTACATACTCCTTTCCCCTGAACTCTACTAGAAAAAATTCAAACAACTCGGAGCATGACACGCTGAATTAAAGACCTAAAAGGACTGATCAGCATCCCTTGATGTGGGACCGAGATCAGGTTTCCCCGAGGGGTCAGCAGCCCTGGGATGGCAACAAGTGAGTCCTGGGGCTGGCACTGCAGCCCCGTCAGCAGCTCTCAGGGCTGCGGGTCCCAGCTATTAAACATCCACATCTTGGCATGCGACGAACACCCTCAGTGCTACGAAACCTCAGGAAGCGCAAACTACCCCAAGCCGTAGCTTTTAACAGAGATTTGAAGCCAGCCCCGTGCTTCTCTCAGCCATTCGCCCCGTGCCCGTAAACCCCCTGTCCTTCCTCAAGCTTTTGCCCCTGGAAGCCCCGCTCCCCGCCCGAAGGCAGCGGGTCTGTGCCCTTCCCGGCACCTCCCGACCGCTCCCCGCTCCCAGCGGGGCCTGTGCCCTTCCCGGCACCTCCCGACCGGCCCCCGCTCCCAGCGGGGTCTGTGCCCTTCCCGGCGCCTC